ACAAATACTTGTCGCAGCTCTGCGGGCACTTGTATCATTGCCAGGTATCTTCAAACCTTGGTGGCGCCTCAGACAGAAGCCTCGATGTACATCTACAGACATAGCCCCGGGCTCCTCGGCCCCTTCAAGCCTTCTCCCAACACGCGAGCCTGCTCAATCCGACCACAAGAGCCAAGAAAATGAAGTTGCTAACCCTCCCCAAAACAACCTCAGACCCTTGCCTTACACTCTCAAACCCCGAACCTTAAACCCAAGCCCCTCAACCTTCAAAGCCTCAGCCCCAAATCCTAAACCCTAGAAACGTTTGATTTTACAAATCCTATAAAACCCTATAAAAAACCATGAAACCCTATAGCAGCCTATTAAGCCCCAACATGCTCCAGTTCTCAGCCAAGGCCGGGCCACAATATGTGGTCCTCCCACAGGGCCGTGCTAAGGACCCGCGTTATCCGAGGTACCAAAGTTTTGATTTAAGGTTTAGGAGGGTTGCACCCTAAACGCTAAACCCTAAACCCTAAACCTGGGGGCTTAGGATTTGTAGGGTTTGAGGGTTAAGGGTGGTTTCGGGTTTAGGGTACCGAGGCGTTGGGTTCAAGGAGGATTCAGGGTGTAGGATTTAGGGGGTTTAGGGGTGTAGGATTTAGGGGTTTCGAGGTCGTGGGTTTGGAGCTTATGATGGAGTCTGCTTGGGTTTAGGGTTTCGTGGTTTCTGCGATGAAATGTGCCGGCTGACTTTAGGTGTGCTGACACTGCGGGAGATCCTGGCATTGTGGTTATTACTGGGGGCTGGCCACGGCCACATGCGAAACCTCTATCAAAACGTACCGACGTTGTAGCAGCATGGTCTTTCGCAGTAGTCGTAATCAACCGAGTAAGGTGGAGTCGTTTGGAATCCAAGCCGAATCCCGCTTTCTCTACAGATTGCAGGTCGGTTCGGATAGGAGTTACTCGATAGAAGTCATGCTGCAAGTTCTCCAGAAACTGATCCTGGTGACGAGCGAACAGAACAGTACGATTCGTAACAAGTCTTGACCGCAACAGCGCTGGAATTTAGTAAAAAAGGCTTGACATCTATTGGGAGCTTTTAAAATCATTTGCGCCGAACTTGCCTCGCCATTTCGCCTCAGTGACGGGGCTGAAGCTGCGGTTTGTTTCTTGGAAGTTTGCACTGCTTTCCCTAAGGGTCCATGTACTCATATAGTATATACATTGGCCTTAATGTAGTCCCTATGTAGGTACTTTGGGGCCCATGTATCTCTATATGGGTACATGGACCCTTAGGGTTTGATCCTTGAGGAGCCGCTGGCTGTCATACCGGGAAACAGCAACAATGTCCCACTACGCGCGGCCGCCCAGCATTGCCGAAGTGGAGAGTGACAGAATGCGTTGCCGTCGTAGCTTCGTCTCTGAGTAAAGCTTTGCTAGCTTCGGACCTTACGGTCAAGCCTGCACACCGCCGATGAACGAGGCATCAGCTGAGAGCAGACGCGGGCAGTAGAGGCCGCGGCCCAAGATCTTGTCGAGGTTCCCTTTTTTGTCGGAAGTTTGCATTGCAGTATCCCCCTGAGGCAGCATCAACTCAGCTCTAGAAGGAGACAAGACAAGCCGCGAAGGCAGTAGTAGCATGTTGACTATCTAGGTGCAACGGAACCACAAGAACCTGCGTGGACCCCAAGCCGGCCTCGTTACCCGCCTCAAGATTATGTAAAAATCGATACGAACGTATCGGTACCCAAATCAAAGCAGCAGGGAGATATACTTGTCCGCATATTTATAAATGTCTTCCGGCAGATTTCGCCAGACTGAAAGTGTCTATTTCATCAATGATTCTTCACAGGATTCGGGTTCAACACCGAATCTCAAAACCCGTTGCTGAAGCATGATTAGGATATGATGATGCTTCGGCCCGAAACCTCTCAAACATGCCCGAAGATGTGGAAGAGACATCCAACCAAGGCCCCGCATTCCAGGCTGCGCAAGAGTTCCAAAGGCTCCGCAAAGATTCGGCGTACATTCTGCTGATTTCGAAGTGCAGACCTCGCGAGATGTCGTGGGTTTCTGGCTTTAAAGCCTCGGGCGTCGGTACTGTATGGGGGATTATGCTAGAAGTTTTCAGCAGATGAGTCTTGTGAAGTGGTTTTTCTTGATCGACGGCTGTTGTTTGGACCCTGTGGAAGACATGGGTTTACCACAATGTCTTGATGGCCTTTGCCAAAATGTAAACTCTGTTGTAGCTTCTCAGATAAAGACATTCTACATATCGAGATGATATGCCTAAACAATCCTAAGCCCTAAAAAACCGTTTGGAGCCCAAAACCTCAGTCGCCCTGGCCTCAAAAGCATTACTCTTTGTGTAAACCCCCCGTTCGCAATGCCTCAGGCCCCATAGTTTCGATTGCGGTCGCTGAGCCGGCGACACCGTGTGCTTAGTAGGCGTGGGAACCATCCATGTGAGGAGAACTCAGTTCGAGAGCCTCCAAAACCCGTTAATTAAGGAATATACCTTAAAATCATATTATGGATCCTATTATAATTTAAGGTATATTCCTGAATTAAAGGGGTTTTGGAGGCTCTGGGTACCGCTAACTTCAATTGCTTTGGTCTTCAGGGCCTTAGCGCGGAAGCTTCGAGGAACACATGTGTTGATACTGCTGATGGACAAAATCCTGCATTACCCATTATAAGGAATGTACTATAGTTCCCATAGTTTAGAGTCCTTATAAGGTCATGCAGGATTTTGTCCATCAGCAGTATAACGCCTAAATTGTAGGATCCTTTGGAAAGAGAAACATCAATGACAAGAAACTGGCAGAATTCATCAGCTTAAGCTTCAAACCGAAAGTTAGGATGCATCATCTTGGAACCTCCTGGGTGGCTGCAGGACTTTCTGCTAGGGCTACGAAGAGAGAGGGTCACTCTTGCTGTAGATCAGCTTTTCGATTTGGTTGAAAGATTTTCTGATAGCAGAGGGAGGGTGAGTTTGCCCGAGATCACGGACGGTTTCCACTGGGTGCCAGCCTTCTCTTTGCTTTTGAAAGCCTCGGAATGTGACGAGCGCAGCTCTTAGTCAGCATTCGGCGGTCATTGCTCGGGAAAGAAGGTTCTCATACTGCTTAAAGGATCATGGAACTTAGTAACTAGGGTTGTTATTAGGGTAACTATACTTATAACCCCAATTAGGGTACTTATAACCTTACTTACTAAGTCCCATGATCCTCCAAGTGGCTGATGCGGAAGAAGGCCGAAGTCCTCAAACCCCCCGTGAAACCCTACATAAGGCCCGACTCCTGCATTCCACCAAAAGCGAGCTGCAAGACAGCTCTGAAGTTCAGACAAGTCGGACCGATCATCCGGATCCCATGCGCCGAGCTCTTTTCCATCAACCCGTCTAGTGGGAGCCCGGTTTTAATTTAATTAAGAATGAAGCTATGAGGCTGAGCTCTGTTGGCGCTACAACGGCTAACTCGAGTCCCCTACAACACAGAAAGTTGAAGAAGTATCATTGCGGTCCAGAGACTCAAATATCCCTTAACTAAGGATATTGGAGTCTCTGGGAGCTTCATATTTCAAGAGACCCCGAAGTCTCTTGCGCTGGCCCTCCTTGCCTGAGCAATGATCCGCCGCTCTCGTGCCCTCGTCTCGCGAAGGAAGCCATCGCTACTTGGAGGATCATGGGACTTAGTAAGTACGGTTACAACTACATTAATGGGGTTTCATACGTAAATAATTTTTGTTTAGATAGTTATCCTACAACACCCTATAGCCCCATATCTAAAGCCAGATCGTAGAGTGTTCACACAACTACGATCATCATCGAGTCAGGGATAACAGATAGCCGCTGGACCGTGCTTCGCCCGATGTCCAGTGGGTTCTGAGCAGGCAGATCGTGTCGGCACGGAAGAGGATCTCTCTGAACCCAAACACTCTCTGGGCTTGCGGACCAGACTTCTTCTGCAACTGTTTCAGGGTATCACCAGCAGAGACGAGGGCATCGTCCTCGAATTCCGGGGACCGCTGCCACGGGAGCAGGTGCTCCTATCCTGGCTGACTTTAGTGTCGGCCAGCTGGACGACGGGTTCTGTCAGAGTCTAGGATATACAGAATTTAAAGACCAACTCCTGAGCCGAAGCACCCTTTCCGAAGCTTAAATCCGACACGCGGCGCACTAATCAACAGTCCGGGCTTACATTGGGGTTTTGCGGTTTCTGGTTGTGGATTAGGGTCTGAGGTGTTGGGTGGCTATACTGTAAGGATGTCGGGATGGGAGTGCCGACCATAGTGGGCAGCGAAGCCAATGCAGCATGCCAGATCGGAATGTGGTGCGAGTGAAGCGGTGAGCCAACAGAAAAGACGTTTGAGGTGTGGATATCTCAGCAGGGCCTTGGGTTTGACGGTTTTTAGGACCAAAGTTTACGAGTCCCTAAACCCTAAACTCAATACGCTAAACCCTAAACTCTGAATCCTACACCTTTCAGGCCCTGCACGGGCTAGGAACTTTGCAGGATTCAGTGTCGAAGCCCGGGGCTCCTTGAATTTAGGCTTCCGTCTTTTAGGCCTCGAGGCCTGTGGGAGAAGGGACCTGGTGACTCCTTGTCCTATCAGGGACGAGGCACGATTAGGCTTGAACTTTGTTTCTTGGGGTTGCGCGCATCGTCTTGCCCTTCATGCGGTAGTGGCATGAATTTACATAAGTATGGTCTGCTTAATCACCTTCACGAGGGTCATCCTTGTGCAGTAGGACGGAGTAGTGGGAACTCTGCTGCCCGTCGAGCCGCATCTCAAGAGCCACAGCCTTGCCGCAAGCACGTTTCAAAAAGAAGTTCCGAGTGGGCCGCTGCATTTCTGATTGCACAAGGACACCATCCAGCCTTCATCTATTGTAACGTCTTAGCTGCACAGCACAATCTCCGTAAACAGGTGCAGCTTTCGCCCTAGAAGATATTCTGAAACCCGCGTGTTCTTGGACCTGTAGTTCCGACCGACATGCTCCAGAAGCGCTGATGCCGGTGGCAGAAACATCTGCTGCAGGATGCTCGAGGTAGGAGCTGTGGACACTGCAATTTCCGACACGGGCCTGGTACTTGATTCCTTGTATATAGGTTCGTTCGACAGAAGATGGGTAAATGCAAGCTGATGGAAGCAGTGTGTCCTCGTTCTCCCAACTCGCGGCACCCAAATGACCCAGAATCCAGGCTGCCCGGCATCCTGACCGGTCGAAGTTGCGTGCAGTTTCAATCGGAGCCTTCCTGCTCTTTTGTCGTTTTGTCTTCGTCTCGCGTGCTCCTTCCTCTACTACGCATTCGTTGGTTCGCAGCTTCAGCTTTTGCCCAACAGGTCGAATGGCCAAGCTTCGTATTCGGCTTCTGATGTCAAGGTGCAGGCTGGCGGTGCTGGGAGGCGGAGACCAGTGGAGTCAAACGAAAGCACTGTCCGCGCTGCTGTCAGGGCAGTCCCACAGTGGGAGGCGAAGGCACGGTCTCGCACTTTCGGCGTCGATGTGCCCTGCATATCTGAATCTTGTTTGGATCGAGGTGACAGCTCGCACATGCAGGACCGGTTCGGCATGTTTAAGGTGCTCGCTGCTCTGTTATCCCTTCTTTTTCTTGTTCATGAAAAGTGTAAGAAGCAACTCGTGCTTTTCCGATGGAAGCTCGTTCGCAGGACACCGAATACAACTTGAACGACCCGAAGGCTATGAAGCAGTTTATCCTCGATTCAAAGACGGCCTTGGTGCGCGCGGAGTGCCCCAGCACGTGCCCAGACTGTTCCCAGGAGGGCAGAGATGCTTGCCACACTTCGCAGTCTCGGTGCAGGTACTTGTGGTACCTCCTTCAGGACCGGGCGAAGGTCGTTTTGCACCGGCTGCCTGAATTGAATTGATCCTTTGCGCTCTGTAGCAATGCAGAGCTCCCGGGGCGAAGTTTAATCTGAGGGAACGCTCGTCATGTCGGCCCTTGGCAGGAGGGGAGAGCGTTGCCGCGCCGGCAGGAAGTAGAGCTCGACAACTTCCCAGACCTCAGCGGCGACAGACAAACTGCGCTGGTTACCCCGGCAGAAATCGAGCAATGGCAGTCCGAGAATGATGCCTTCATCATGGCAGTGAGCCACTGCTGGGAGACGAAGCAGCATCCTGACCCCACCAACTACCAAGTGCAACACATAGCAAACTTCACGGGCCTGCACTACAGCAGATACTGCAAGCCAATTTGGCTCTTCTACGACTATGTAAGCCTGTTCCAATACAAGCGCGAAACTGCGGAACAGGACGAGTGCTTTGGCCGGGCACTGTCGAACATCTTCCTGTTCTATGCGCACGAGTGCACATACACCTTGCGTATAGAGTCCCTCACACCGAAAAGCACGCTGGTGCAGAACGCAGACAGCAGCATTGTTGTTTATGACAAGCCGAGTGACTCTGTCAAGCCTGTGCCGCTGCGCGAGCTGGATGCAAATCGAAATTCGTACCTGGAGCGTGGATGGTGCCGATCGGAGCTCGAATGGTCGAGCACCAAAACCCAAACCGACAGAAACCTGAGAATCGATGGTGGGCAGGACGGCAACAGGGCTGAAACTGCACCAAAACCCCCCACTCCCCCTAGCATCTTTCGAAAGAGCCTCGAGCAGCTTCACTTCACGCAGAAGAAGGCAGACTTCGAAAAAGTAGCCCAGCTACATGAGAACGTCTACAAGCAAAAGGCCGGGGCCTAAGTCGGATCAGATGCTGACCTCATGCTTCCGGGGGGGAGGGGCAGTCGCAAACTCCTCGGTTCAACCATCCGAGCGTCATTGCACAGGTGCACAGCTGCAAGATTTTGCGGCTGGAAAACCTTCGGTCGAAGGAGATGGCAGCGTTTGCGAAGTGGCTCCATAACTACAAATGCCTAGAACAACTCGATCTTGTCTACGCAGAGCTCAGCGAAGACGAGCTGGCCGAAGTGGCTCAGGCTCGGCAGCTCTATTTGCGAATGATGTGCTCGCTGTCAGGCTTGTATAGGTTTGCTATAGATGTGTAGTGCATCGATGATCACACCATAGCAAGTCGATTGTGTGGCGAACGCGGTTCGGTGCCACGCTTAGCCGTCGTCCCGACCGCAAAGACCCTCTTGTTGAGCTGCAGTCCCAGCTTGGATGAGCATCCGGCAAGTCAGCAGCAGCAGCAGCAGCAGCAGCAGCAGCAGTTCTGCCATTGTCGTGTCACTCGGAGGCATGACAAGGCCATATGCGAGTGCCGATCAAGCTAAAAGAGCTTTCGTCAAAGTTGGTCCTTGCATGGTGTTTGGTCTTTTGTTGGGCTTTGAATTGAAGTACCACACTGTAGTAATTACTTTTTTGGGGACCTGTTACCATTATGAAATACAAGTCTATTTTTCTCCCTGGTTACTTCAAAGCCCAGTTTGGTGTGTTAGCTCGGAGTTGACTACGTATCGGTAACGAACAAGAGTTATCATAGTTGAATCTCGGAATTGGTTGGATTGGTTGTTTCTGATCCTGAAACAAATTCAAAGAGATTTGCTTCAATAGAAACTACAATGTTGCAACTGATGGTGCAAACCACCAGGTTTGAAGCATCGTAAAGCGACTATGTCGCGACACACATGGCGAAGAGTATCTCTCATGACTCACACGAAAATGACATTTGCCAGTGGCAGCAGCTCATGATCTCAGACATGATTCATCATGAAATCTTGCCGACCCATGATCATGGCGAGTCTTTCGGACCCATGACTTATCAGACGTGCCATCTTGCAGTCCTATGACCATGATGGGTCTTTGCAAACCCATGACTTACCTACTTGACCCGAGTAGCTACCAGCATTCCAGGACCAAGGCCCACCATTCTTTGGTGATGATGCGCTGCAGCTTGCCTCACGGGCCATCTGACTAACCTATGATCTTGATGGGACCCATGACCGACATGCCATGTCACCGACCTGTGATCATGATTTGTCTTTCAAGAACCATGATTTACCAGACGTGTCGTTTTGGCCTATGTGCATGACGGCTCTTTGCAGTGCATGGGGTCTTTGCAGACCCATGACTTACCAGAGGCTTTTTGGCTGACCAATGACCATGACTAGTTCTAGGTGCTGCCGGCAGAACATCCATGGCATGGGGTCTTTACCGACCCACGTTTGACACGCGATGTTGCCGACCTATGCATGCTAGATTATCCGCCCGTCTTGCAGACGATCCTGAGCTGGTGCCACTGGCGCAATGAGATCATGATGTCAGTTTCGTGTGCATCATGAGAAATGACCTATTGCCGTGTGCATCGTGTCACGGTCTCTGTTTGACTGACGCCTCAAAACTTTTTGTTTCCAGCAGCAGTTAACAATGAATAGGTTTGACATTGATTGAAGCAGTTTTTTGAATCGACCCAGCATAATCTAAGCAGTTCCGCGATTCACTAACTAGTCATGCTCCGGTGAGTTATGAGACATGACCCATTGCCGTGGGCGTCCTGTCACGGTCGCTGTATGATGTTTGAAACTGAATCACTGTTTTCAACACCGAACGTATTTGACAATGATTAGACACAAACTTGATAATCGATATTCAGTGTTTCAGCATAGTCCAACCACTTCCGAGATTCAATAATCTAATCCAGCTCCGAGCAAAGGCACCAAAGGACCAAACACCTTGAACAGTTTCGTGTCATGAAACTGCAAAGGCCGATCTTTCACGAAACTGTTTTGCTAGTGGCTTACAAGAGAAAAGCGAGAATGGCGAAGACACGCGAGGAGAACCTGCGGTAGCGTGGCACAAGACACTTATAGGCATGAGCGGCATGGTCGGCAAAGTTCTGGCCTGCCAGAGGCCACGGCGAACAACACTGGGGCAAAGCAAGTGATGTTGAGACCCGCGAATGCTGCAAGCGCTGTCACCTTTGCGAAGGCCATGCTTGCTGAAATAACTTCTCGCGAGGTAGTTGGATGGCGCATTCATGGACATCCGGCATGCTGCGAAACCTCCGCCGTGCTGCAGGCGTTCGCCAACGCGAAGGACATGTCCGTGATCCTCGATCTACGCAGGGATTTCTTTGATGCTGACGGTTTTGAGAAGGACGTGCTTCACCACATCGAGGCCGGCTCCAGGTGCCTCTTTCCTCGGCTTCCTCCTTAGATCCTCATCTTCCCGGCATGTGACACATACCAGCTCCAGGTCCACCCCTCTTGCACTGCTGTCCTGATTTATATACGACGTCACACGCCGCATGTTTGTCCCCTAGTGACTCTTTGCTTCTGCGCGTTGTTCGTATATTTATGAAACAGCTTCTAATTTTTAATATGTGTTATACCTTAATGCAGGTGTATATATACATATATATATATACACAGAGAGAGAGAGAGAGAGAGAGACAGAGAGACAGAGAGATGCAGAGACAGAGAGCAGAAGTGATGAACAATGAAATCTACACCCTTGGCTAAGTTTCTGGGTTTCAGTGCAGGGTGTTTCGCCGCAGCTCCGGGCAAGGCTCTCGCAGGAGCGCTGAAGGTCAACACGAGCATCAAAGAAGTCGATCTTGCGGGGATGGAATTGAACCCTCGTGACACGACGGTCCGGGACTTAGTGTCCTTTGCAGGGCACTGTGACCGGGGTGCTGCGGTCTTCACTCGACGCCTGAGCAAGGCTCTTGCCGCAGCATTGGCTTCAAACAAGCACATCGCAACACTCAGCCTTGGAACACGGGACAACACTGGTGGATTCGAAGATGGAGCGAAGGCCACGAACTGCTGGACTCTTGCCTGCTTTGCTTCCCAGTACACTGAGGTTTTAGTTTCTTGGTCAGCCTCTTCTGTTGAATGCCGGAGGCCTTGGCAGATGCATTGAAGGTGAACAAAACCCTCACCAAGCTGGAGCTGACTGGCGCCAATGGTGACGACGTCGAGGCCCTGAAAATTGTGGGGCTGCTGTGCTGAGCGGTCAGGCTGTTCCCCATGGCCATGCAGGCAATCGCCGGAGCGCTCGCTGTGAACACAGGAATCACACACTTGTCCCTGAGCAGTGGCAAGTACGGGATCGGTGCTCGTGGAATGGAGGCTGCGGTTCGTTTTTTGTTGTGAGCCACGCGTCGGGATGCTGTCAGCGCTCGCCAGGCTCTGGTTGCGGCGTTGACAGTCAACACCTCTATCATTGAGCTGAAGTTAAAGATTAAGCGCACGTGTCGAACCTTCAGACCTGCGTACAAAGAGGAGTACATGGAACAAGCTCGGCGGGACCAAGAAGCATGGCAGGGGGAGGCCTGGAGACTTTTGGGGGATTCGTGAATTGCCTCCTTGCCGCCAGCCTTGCTGTTTCAACGCTTTACTGCCGGGACCGAGAGTAGCTGCGTAAACTCCTGTGGAGCGTCGCTGGCTTAGACTATGTAAGGTTGTGGCGGGGGGAACTTGCCAAGTTGGCGCAGTTCGTTCAGTGGCAGGAGCAGGCGAAGGAGCAAATCGAGCGCCTGTTGGAACGGAACAGGCGGCAATCTAAGGCTCGCAGAAGTGCAGGGTCTGGTGTGTTTTTTCCCGGCCGACAGGGTTTGTCTTTTGAACAGTCACGCTCGCGATCACGGCAACATCTCGCCAGGTGCCATCCGAAGTCGAAGCACAGCCTCGAGCACGTGCAGTCGAAACGGAGAGACCTGAGCCAATCCTGAAGGTGGGTGTGCAATTGTGCAAGCCGCGTGACAGCTTCAGCCAACTGACAAGACGTTAGACCACCTACCATGAACGTGCTTTCAGCCTGTCCTCATGCGTGCGACCCCATCAAGTTGTTTGAACGTGTTTGGGGCCATCGACAGAAACGCTGTGCGAGGAATCTCACAGGATGATGATGTGGTTGTGCAGACAACTCGACGTGTTTGTGGGATTCTAGGGGTGATGTGTTCAAGGGCAAACGTTGTTTCTATGTGAGCTTCTACACGCATGAATCTGCCGTGCGCTGCCGTGAGGGCTTTTTGTGGCTGATTGGCTTGATGGGGTTATGTTCTCGATCCGATTAGGTTCTTCCTGTATAGGTGTGGGACTGAGCGAATATATGGTTCGCGCAGGGATCTGCGACCTGCCACTTGACTTAGTAGTCTTCTTTTTCACCAGTCTGTCCTCGTGCTCCTAGTGTCCTAGTGCATCACAGCGCAAAGCAGGTAGAGGCATCCTGAGTACATGTTTTTGTTTTTTGAGGTGTGGTGTGTGGCTAGGCCGACCTCTCTGCTGGTCTCAGCTGAAAGGACCGGTTTCGAGAGCTCATACCTGGCCATGCCTCTGCGCCAGGCTGAGATCTTCATCGGCCGCCATCTTGACAAGGTGTGCTAGCGTGCTTTAGTGCTAGCTGTTCAGCATGTTCAAAGCGACAGGTCTTGGCCGAGGTGTTGAAGTTCAACACATTCGTCAAAGCGATCCGTCTACCATGGCGTTATTCCAAACATTTCCGTGTGTTCGATGGTTGGGAGGCCCTGGACTCTGCCATCGTGCCTTGCGCTGCGGTGATTGGACCCTTTGCCAGGCCCTGACCCGCGTGCTGCGGGTCAACACTTCCATCACTGAGCTCACCACCGACCGCGAATCCTGGGAGGGTATCGGTCCTCTTCGGTGTACGGACGTTCCGGCTGCTTTGCTGACCTGTCCCTCAGACCCACGGGTTTCGCGGTCAGACGCTCTCCAGAGATGCGATGTTGTTGTAGCCTGTTGACCTGGCTACAAGTCGAAGGTTGAAAATAGGATCCTCTTCTGCTGCCTGCAGCGAAATCGGCTGGGCCAGGCCGGAAGCTCGCACAGAGGGACAGGGCCGCACCGTGATGCACTGCCGTCAGGTTCACTGGATGACTAGCAGTTATTGCTTTGCAATAAATAATGCCTTTCGGAGGTTTGCAGTCATGAAGCGAACGGGGGGACGTTCTCGCTGCGGTCTCGCAGATACATCGACTCAGGGTCCACCGCACGGCCCACTGCCATCCACTGCCGAAGGCCAGCCCGAACCTTCGGGCGTGTTTTGCTGCGGAAGACGGCGACGTTGAAGAGCTGCAAACCCTGCTGGAGGCCGGAAACTACCACTGTCCGCTTCATGGACTGTAGTGAACATGGAGGTGTAAGTGCCATACAAGGGTAAGCCTCTCCGGAAGGGCGGATTGTTCGTTTTCGTTGACACATGGTGCCCTCCAGACAACTCAGTCTCTGTCTGTGTCGTGACACTGGACAACCGTCTCGTGTTCAGCTGCGCAGGCGGGGGGTCGACCTATTATCAAGGTAAAACTATAAGAATGCCTCACACTGAATGATAGTAAACTATACCATACCGAATTAAGGTATTGCAGATGTTTCTTGCGTCTTACCTCATAGCATCTCATAGCGCAGCATGCATTACCATACCATACCATGTCAGATAGCATCATACCATATCGTACTATGTGTTGACGTATTGACATATACATACATACATACATAAAACATATATATATATATGTATACAGTTTGTTGTTTGTACCCGTTTTCGGTTATCGGACCTCGCGATATTGAAATCCCTTGCTGTGTTTCGATGCATAGCACTACAGATGTTGTTCGATCGTATTTCGTTCTGTTTGCGGTATTGTATTCCGCTGTGTCAAAATGTGTTTCGGAGCATTGAAAGTGGTATGTTAATGTTGTTAGTGGTGTAACACGGCATACTGCATCGCAATACATTCATTGCATCATGACATATTCTATTAGGCAATATTATGATGTTGCCTATTCCTATTCGTATTGTATTCCTTTCTGTTCTCTCATAGTGCACTGCGTTGTGCTGCAATGTGTTGTTCTCTGCGGTAGCCCATTGTATTCTGTGCCGGTTTATTGTGCGCTGTATCCTCTTGTCAAGGAATATATATATATATATATATATAGTAAAGCAAAAGCTTATCACACGTGATGTATCGCATGGGTTTACACTATGTAATATGGTAAAACCATATTGTATCATGTCATAAGGAGTGTAAGGCAGTACGGTATCACATGTCATATCGTTGTGTCTGACTGTGCAAGTTCGGCATGTTCAACATTGGCTTAGATGCTATATTAAATCAGGCCTCTGATTTTCTCTTTGCACCTTGCTTTGTCTGTTGTTCTGTTGATTGCAGGAGAGCACACCGGAGTTCCCTCAGAGAACGGGGACGGAGACAAAGCTGGACCGCACCGTGGCGAACGACTCTGGCATGTCTCCGGTGCATTTTGCCGCAAAGGGTGGCCGCATGGACGTACTGAAGGTCGTACAAGAGGCCGGTGAAATTGAGAGGAAGAAGTCCGTGTCAACACAGCGCCATGATGAGGATTTCTAATTGAAACGCTTCGCGTCGTCCGCCTCTGCCCGGCCGTGACGGAAGCAAGCGCACTGTGAAGGCGTCCTTGAAGGACCCTCAAACTCTAAAACTTAGTTCTAAGTGGTATCAATTTTTCCGATGTTTTCCCGGCTCTTAGGGTTGGTTGAGGTATGCAGACTGAGCACCTTCATCCCGTATCGATTTGCACCGAAGACCCTAAACCTCAAAGCCTCAACATCCTCATCTCTCAAGCCTAAACCCTCATTCTTCGCTGCATGTTCCTCAACGGCGGCATCGATGCCAGGCTCGGTCGGGCCCCCCAGAGCGATCTATAGTCCATAGAGCGTTCAGGGTTTATGTACACGCGCCGGCATGTGCTGCATGAAGCTCCGGTAACCCGATAAACAATAAAACCCTGAGTCTTAAACTTTAGACCCTAGGCGTCCTGCACAAGGATGACACCCACAAACCGACAAGTGTCCCAGGTAAGCCCCGGTAGACTGGGGTCCCTCTAATCTAGGGGTCCTGCACAAGGATGACACACACAAACCGACAAGTGTCCCAGGTAAATCCCGGTAGACTGGGGTCCTTCTAATCTAGGGGCCTTAATAATTAGATTAAATTAAGGAACCCTAACCATAATTTTGGTAATTATCTAGGCTTCTACATGAAGGTTTAAGGTTTAAGGATTTTCGGGACCTTTAAGGAAGCCCTCGCCTGAGTCCTGAAGTCTAACACTGACGACTCAGTCTGAACCCTGCACCTCTCGGGGCAACAGAGAGGGGCTCAATGGTTCTAACATTGTACATATTTTTCCTCAGGTCTCCTCATAAGAAGAAACGTACATAATATGTGTATAGCGCAGGGCAGGGCAGGGCAGAGCAAGAGCCTGATTTACAGAAACACTGATGCAGTTGATGTGGACATTGTTGCATCTCCGAATCCTGTGCGTGATATTCGACATAGCCCCTAGCTGGGCGATAGCGATGCTTGAATCTCCGATGCCCGCAATCCGCCAAAGGGTTAACTCGTGGAACCCTGCACCCTGCTGCCTAAAACCTTCAACACCAAATTTCCGAACCTGTAAGTTTTGTAGCCGACAGCTCGGAAGCTTTAGCTTCTGAGCCTTGTACAGGTCGCAGCAGCAGCGGATGGAGCTTGCGCTGGCACCGGAACGACCGCTGCTTGTTTAGGGCGCGGAACACTTTTTGCGCAGGGTGAGGGGAGAGGAGGGGAGGGGTGAAACACTGAATGTTACACATCCAGGTGCTTATCTGTTTCACGTATCACTTGCATGTATCCATGCCTGTTGCTCAAGGTTCTAGTGCAGTGGACTACAGCTGTGCGCCTGTAGTAAAAAGAGACACCTGAGTGCCTGTGTTCCTGTACGCCTTAGCGAGGGGATACACGTCCAGGTTACATCTCAACGTGGTAGCGGAGCTCCCGGGAAACGGGAAGCTTCACACTTGTGGAGGTACCCGTTCGGTACTTTCTACACAGGTGGAGGCAACCGGAATACCCGGTGTGCTTCACTCAAGTGAAGGTGACCGGAGTCTCTCCGGTACACTTCACTCAAGTGAAGATAACCGGAAGAGGTTTCTCCCAAGGCTCGATCCAAGAACAACGCCATGGCTAGCCACTCTGCGACTATCTTTGAGCATGATGGAGGAGATGATGATTACCTCCTTCAAGGCAATGAATCTTTTGCGACTAATCATCGTCATCTCAATGAACTACACCGTCTTTCAGCTTTCCAGCAGGTGACCACCAAAGTGCCTCCATCTTATGATGGTAGAAGTAGTTGGTTTGCCTATGAAGATGCGATCGATGACTGGTGTGACATTACTGAGCTAGACAATGATAAGCGTGGACCAGCTTTGAGAAATCGGCTAGAAGGTGAAGCAGCAATCCACAAGAGGCTTCTCGACAGAGATCGCCTGAAGGACCCAAACAACGGAGTGAAGTACTTCAAGAGCTTCCTGCGGCCGCTCTTCGTGAAGGGAGCAGCAAATGTTTTCCTCTATCGCTTCCAGCAGTTCATGAATTTGCACTGCGGGAATGGAGACATGCTTCGTTGGATTACCAGGCTTCAACTCTCTGTTCAGAGGATGCAAGAAGCGTGGACTGATACCTATCTGCCAATCGTGGACCCGAACAATGCAGAGGTCAGAGCCTTCATAGCAGGACTTCCACCAGAAGAACAAGAAGGACTCACGCCAGAGCAGGCAATGGAGAGAGCCAACGAACGGCTCAGAGATCAGCATGCTCGGACCATTCCGATCACGGCCAACCTCGTTGCCTTGATTTTTGTCTCCCTGTCCGATCTGACACAGGATCAGCGGCAGGTGTTGACATCGCTGATGGCGCATCGGAACCGAGTCTTGGCTGACTACAATGTGACTGAGCTGCGTGAGGTCTACCTTGAGATCTTCTGCACGACTAAGACTACCGTCGATAATCCTCTCCTCGCTCCTTCCGGCCACGGTGGCCGCAAGACGTTCCTTGTGATCGATGAAGGATACTTGGACAATCATGAAGGCTACTGGGTCGAGGACGAGGAGGATGGCACAGAAGGTTTCCTTGAAGCGGATGAGGACGCCTTCTGGGTCTACGACGACGAGAACTACTCATGGTTCCAGCGGCGCTTCCAAGGCCGCAAGATGAAGCGCGGATTCAAGGGCCACCGCAAGGGCAAGGGAAAAGGTGGCAAAGGATCCAAAGGAAGGCGCTTCTTCAAAAGAAAGAAAGGCAAGTCTAACCTTGCCGAAGAATCAGAAGCATGGCAGGCAGAAGGACAATGGCAAGATTACCAGTGGAGCGATCAGTCCTGGGATGACTGGTCCTGGTATGAGTCTGAGGAGTCCTATGCAGCCAAGGGAAAAGGAAAGAAAGGAAAGAAGGGCAAAGGAAAGAGCAAGTTTGGCAAAGATGGAAAGGATGGAAAGTCCGGAAAGGACGGACAAGCCCAGCTTGCTGATGCTGCCCAGAGCGGCACCACAGCCGCCACAACCTTCTTCGTTGAACACTTCAACTCTCCGAACCTTTCTTTCATGGCCACCGAAGAGAAGATCAATGAGATCGAAGAAGCCTTCATCTCTCAGCCCTTGACGCCAACCGCGATGGTGTTGGATTTGGGATGCACGAAAGCAATGGCTTCTAGAGTGGCCGCACAGGACTTAATGGAGTTCTGTGACAAAAACCAGAACTGTGGCATATGGTACACCATTGCTGAGACCACCTCTCAGTTCACCTTTGCCAATTCCGAGTCGACCAAGTGCAACCAGAAGTTGGTCATTTGTATGTACGACCGGGACTATGCAGTTCAATCCACAGAGTTCGACATTGTGGAGCAGGGGCATGTTCCTATTCTCATGTCCTTGCCTCAGATGCGCAATCTTCGTTTCCAGTTCGAACTCCACCCGGAAAAGGCCTTGCTTAGCAGCCCTGTACTGGGAATCAAGGATGTGAAGCTGAAGGTTGCACCTAGCTCACACCTGGTACTTGACCTTCTTGAACTCAGTCAGTTGATGTGGAATGTGCGTTTCAGCAAGCACAAGAAGTCTAGCTTCCTCACCTACTTCTCCCACTACGAGTACGGCTTCCATCAGAAGACCGTGGGATGCTCTTCTCAGGAAGAGGTACCCAAAAATCTCGTGTTGGCGACGGATGATGAATGGGTGATCAATGAAGCCGACATGGAGATGATTCGCATCCACAAGAAGATGAGGAAGGTTAAGTACGAACCCAAGGCGGGCTTCGTGCCTATTCCGTTGGGGTATCTGGACAACAAGCGCAAGACGATCATGAAGTTCTCCAAGGGAAAGAGCGTTACTCAAGAAGATGACTGGCGTTCTTCCGAGCTTTCTTCATCAAGGACTACTGATTCTTGGAACGGTAGGACCATCTTCAAGATTCTGCCTGGAGGTATCGAGAGTAGAACCTCGGTGCCAGCTAAGTCCAAGGATCCAACCCGTGCCAAGGTAGGATCCCCAGAGGACATGATTAGCAAAGGTAAGCCTGAAGACAGCTCGAAGAACACAGGAGCATCCGGAAGCTTTCCTCTGGGAGAGGTACCGGTAGCGAGAAGGATTCGAGCCAAGGGAAGCTTTCCTCAGGGAAAGGAACCCAAGGAACCGGCTCCTCCTCCTCTTGCTCCTGAAAATGATCCGGATCTTCAAGAGTACGAACCTTCTGAACCGGGGGATGCAGATTTGCTTCCTCCAAGAGCCCCAGAGGCTCAGTCGCTAGAACCTAGGAGGATCGCGCTTCCATTGCGAGGCCACGAGGTCTCAAGGGCTTCTCCACAGTATCAGCGCATGTTGGAAAAGTTGAACAATGATGTTGAGCTTTACAAGTTGCATGTGAAGCATTACCACATGACTTCAGCTCAGTTTCGACGAAGGACCAAGCTTCTGGAGAGCCGCTGCGTCCAAAGTGGGTACCTTTCCCTGAGGAAAGCTTCCCGATGACGCTTCTCCGGCATCCTGAGATGTCTTTGGCCTTTTCTTGGGAGCTGGCTTAGAAGGCCTTGGATCCGTACTGCTTCCCGGTCCCTCTCCATGAGGAGAGCCTCCGGTAGCTTCATGGGAAGAGCCTACCCCTGCGCTTTGTTGCTTCCTTTCGTGGCGAAGGCCACCCGGATCCTGCTCGTGAGGAGGACGATAGTGGTACGACAAATACATCGGCGCCACGTCCTCGTATGAGAGCACCACGCCGTTGTCTGTAAGATACAGATCGTGGCCGTGGTTCAAGAAGCTCTCAAAAGCGAGCTTGGCGTAGAAGACGTAGGAGCCGTACTTAATGACGGTCCAAGGCCCCGGAGAAACCTCTCCACCCGCGTAAACGAAGTGGATGGCTCTCCTGTGCCGCTGCCACGCCGCCTTATTTGCCTCCAGCAGCAAGCCCTTTTCCCGGATACTCTCATAGTTCGAGTTATCCGTGGCATGAAAGATCATGCC